GTCAGGTTCACCATTGTAGCTTCTGGTGTTATTCTCACTTGGTTTCTGGTTAAAAAAAACAACTTACTTTCAGCCATCTGAAAATAACAGCTGCATTAAGTGTAAGTATATAATGAATACATAAGAACACTATCTATCTCAATTTTTTAAAACTGCAACTGTTCCAGTTTTCTCCACAGGAAAACAAGTGGGTTCCATATCCAAAGTATGCACAGTTTCAGCTCACAAATGAGGGAAGAAAACCCATTTAAGAAAAGGAAAAAAGTCACTAATTTTTTTTAATTAACAGTCAAGTTAAGAGAGAATACAGCTTCCAAGTTATTTTTAGTTCATCAATAGGAGCTACCAATTATAAAATACATGTCTATTTAGTAATTCTATTAGGAAAGCAGAGGAAACTTCAGCGTCCTACATACAAGACTGCTCTGCAAGCCTGAAAGTTTGGGTTTCCATTAAATAATTTTCTAAGAAATTAATTCTCTTACAAAAATTCTTTTAGTGAGTCTAGCTAACACAACTCTGCGAAGACATGACTCATCTGCTTTATTACAACTTAACCTTTGCTGAAAAGGACCAGGTCATTCCAGTCATACAACAACCAATAGATCAATCCTACGTCTCAATTAGAAGCCAGAAGAAAAACACCAAAGATATTTTAACCTTTTTGTCCAAAGTAAAGAGTAGCTGATGGCTACAAACTACTTAAAATGAGCATATGGTCCACAGGCTATGCCCTGGGTCACATGGCTCAAAGTAGTTCACTGCAAAACAAAAAGCACAGCAATTTCAGTGCCAAAGAATGCTTTTAGTAGTAGTTATTTACTAAACGAAACTTCTCTCTATTTAGCTTAGATTGGTCTGGTTTAGTTTAGTTGAAACCTAACTAAAACCTTTCTTTTTAATAGATCAGTGCAAGGCATTTCCAATTCAAGGGATTGTGTCTCAGACAAGTATCACTTGAAGCTATCTCAAGAGCACCAAAGGCAGGAGAAATGCTGTTTGTCTCTAAGTAGAGAAACAAACATCACCTCTACTATTCTGCACTTACAAAACAGCAGAACCATTTTTAGTACTCAATACAACCTTCACAAAAAAGCCAAGAACAAATATGATAAATTTCATCTGAAAATCAGATATCTGATAAAGTTACGAATCCTTAGAGGATTCTTAGTTTCTGTAACAAAAACAGTCCTGCGCAGTCCCCCCACAGAAGCATAGCATGTTTGCCATTACTATTTTAACGAACTGTATATGAAAACAGTACTCATTTTATTCCAAATTCTAATACCTACCTGCTATGTATTTATCAATACATGTCAGAAGTAAGCTAACTTCCTTTGCCCCATTTTACAACTGGGAGCATATGGCTAACAATTACTTCAGTATTAAAATATTAAAGAACTTATGTTTGTTTGAATTCTGAGAACTTCACAGTACCACCAAATTAAAATGGAACTTAACAACATATGTTTACATTCCAAGAATTTCCTCACAACTCAACAAGCTAGAAAGCCCATTTTCAAAGAAAAAAAAAAAGCACTTCTGAGATACACTTTGTTCGGAGAACATGAACTACAGCTGGCTTTTACAATCATAAACCCAGTATGCATTAAACAAATCTTTTGCAAAGAGCAAAAATTTGTTTTAAAAAAATCCAACAAACCCACATACAAAGAAAAAACAAACAAAAAAACTCATACAAGTGCAACCAAGTTGGTTTCCTGAATGGTTTTCTTTTTGTCATCTTTATGTTCTCTGCTTTGTGAAGCAGAACGACGTCTGCCTTTTCCTGGCCGACCAGGAGATCTAGATCGAGATCTGCTAGTACTTCTTCTGGAGGGAGAACTTGAAGAGGACTGGCTCTTCCTGTGCTTGAACGATGACTGTGACTAAAAAAAGAGGGGAAGAAAGTGAAATCATATCTCAGATATTCCAAAGAACAATTTTAGAAACATGGGTTTTTTGTGATGAGGACCCTGGCATGTAGTTCTACAGAATAGTCTCATTTCCTACACTGGTGCTGTACAGAGGCTGTTAAGAAAGAATGACTCCAGCGCACCCATTTTGCTCGTATTACCCAAATAATCCCGTTCCAAGTCCAACTGCTGACAATTCTTGCCAAAGCTGCAGAAATCAGGATATAGATGTACGCTATCAATGTGAGCACCAAGCTCTTAAGCATGCTACCCTCTTAAGCCTTTGCATAAGTAAATGAAATTATAGCCATCTCTCAAGGCTTAATCATTTAGCTTTATTTCAATATTTCAGTCACTTAGCTTTATTAATACATTTGGCATATCAAGATGCAATGAACTGTTTAATGCAACACAGCTCAGATCAACATTAAAAAACCCCAAGTCAGTTAAATCATTACATTAGACGTGATAACTAATTTCTTAAACAGTTTTCCCCAAAAGTACTCAGTTTTCTTTTTCTGTGATGTCTACAATGCTTATTTTCCCACACAAATTTTCCACAACACAACTTTCATAAGGCACAAATAACTTTACGAAAAGAAAGGTATTTTCAGTTTGAGCTTGCCAACCTGCAAGCACTATGTAAACAAGTTAGAAAGTCTTAAAGCAGTGAAAACGTTTGTCTAGCTCAAGGCAGAAACATTTTGCCCCAAAAGAAAAGGTCAGTTACAGGGCACATACACTGCCACTGAAAAGTGAAACTCTAGTTCACATAAAGACACACAAGTTAGCTCTGAACTTACCCAAGTTTCACAACAGGCCTTAAACTACCAACTCCAGCAAACACTCAAATAGCTTTTGTCTCATGCATTATCACATTTTAAACTGAAATTAAACTTGTACACAAGAGTTTTAAAGACCTTTACTAGTAATAGAAAATGAAATAACAAAGAGGAAGGGATGTGCTAATATACATATGACATGACCTTTTTTCAGAAGTCCCTAATTGTCACCAATAGAGCAAAATACCTTATGAAACCTTTGGGGACCTAAAACAGTACACACTATTCAGATGTTTTAAGTATGTGCTTAAAGGGCATATTCTATTTATATTCACAGTGATCCTTAACTACATGCTTACATTTGTTTTCAACTGTTCTTATTTAGAAGTGTAAAAAAGTCAAATTAGTATCAACTCTCTGATTACCAGCTTTATAAACTACCCAAAACCAATTTTCCATTAACAATTAGGCTGTAGAGTTCCTGAACGATCAGACCTGTTCTTCCCCAAACGTATTACTGCTTTTTCAACATAAAGAAAACAATACCACTTCTTTAAAGACAGGGTCAGCATTCTGAACTTCTACATGACATGTCACACACAAAAAAGCTATTATTTAGCATCAATTCCTTGAAGACACAGTTAATGAAAACTTGCAAAGCAACTACACAAGTTATCTTTTTATCTACATCACAAAATCAATATAATCTTCTATTAGAAATACAGATAATTATATAAACATGTACTCACCCTTATATCACTTTCCTTCAATTCAAGTTCAGTCCCATCTTTGTACTTAACAGTATAAAGATGAGAAACATCATTGTAACTAGTCACTTGTACTTCGTAGTACAGGACACTTCCTGGCCAACGGCCCATCACCACCTCGCCATCAGCAAACCTCCGGCTTGGCATTTTCCAAAAGGAATCCTTAGAAAATAAATAAATCAATACATATGACAGCTAAACATTAGGCTTGATTTTTCCTTACTCTCTTTCCGTACCATTTAGCCTGGGACAGGGAAACTTTAAAGTAAACAACTCTTCACATTGAATAGGCAAAAAGCTGCCTGATAGGAAAAGAAAGCAATGATCTATTTTCCAAATTAGTGGTAGACAGAATAGTCTTAAAATAGAGCAAAGATTGCAGTTAGATGTTACTAAAAAGTGCTCAAATATATTAACAGTACATCTAAACCAGTATTCAACTATGATATACAACCTCCATCATCAGAGACCACCAAAACCAGGCAAAGCACATATTTGACCAACATTACATAATGCTGTTGATCTTATCTAGATGGCGAAAAAAGTAAATTAGTATCTAAGTGTCCTCTAACAGTCTTTTCCTGTGGATCTACAAAAATTACAAAGTGATGATTTTTAAATATTAAAATAAAACATCCCCAATCTATTCAATACACACAGCCACATTACATACTTTCTGCAGTCAATTATGCCAAATACTCAAAGAGTTAGGAAATAACAGAATTTAGGCTCCTGTCTGGGCTGCATATTTTCTCTTTTCCACCTATTTAGCACAAGGCAAGTAACGCCTTTTGCAGAGGCCTGTAGGAAAACAAAGTACAGCATCAGAGCAATCACATAATAACCTAAAAAACTAAGTGCTAGCTCCCTGTCTGCACAATAGTTTTTATTTTATATTGGCAAAACATGGTTTAAGTGAGTGCCCCCGTTGGTCCACCATAACAGTGTGCTGGGAAAACCACAACTGTAACTTAAAGTTATATTTTTAAATGTAAAGTCCTGTACAACTCTTTGAAAAGTGCCTTATATTATGTCATTGCATTCTGCAAATAGGTATCCATAGCAGAAGAGACTTTCAACCTGAACTTCTGTGACTCAGTCTCAAAATATAAAGTGAAGGTATCTTAAAAGTCTATGGTAAAATACATACTAATTTATGTGCTATCACCATTTGTATGATGAACATAGGAACTTAGAAGGGGCGGGGAAACCAAACAAACCAGCAAATCTTTTTGTTTCAAAGCATTTTAACTTGTTTGCTAGAAATAGATGTGAAGCCACAAAAAATGAGGTGAAAACAAATATTTAACTGATACTCATTCATTACACATTAACTAATCTGCAATGAAAAGTTAGATTCTTTGGCAAAAAAGTACTGTTAACATGCAATCACAGACCTTCATAGCACATTGGGGGATGGGGCTAAGTGAGGCATTTCAATCAACTTTCCTTCTGGCATTTCCTGAAGCTGCTGCTGTTAAGATTTCACAGGTGTGTTGCTCTCCAACTCAAAGAAACCAAAAACTCAACAAAATTCCCTCATGTGGATTTTACTGCTAATATTCCTAATTGCTTTAGAATGAAAACATCTGGCCATTTCTTTTGCTGTGTAATATTTGAAGAAGTGAGAAGAGAAAGTTTTGTCATTTGGTTTCACTGCTATTTGCCAATTAGAAAAGTTATCAGTGTTCTAGTCTATGCTCGCTCATAGGCTTGTGGTCTTACAGCTTATCTGCCGCCTACCTAGTGTTTCCTGTTCCAGTCTCGTTACTTTCTTATTCCATCTGAATTCCCACTCCTCTGACTCTGTTTTATCACAGTCAATTTAACCCCCTCAAATTCATAGTTTTGTTTCTTATGACTCCATTAAATACCATTTCCAAATTTTAATTTCAAATTCTTCTCCATTCTCTCCTTACCCCCCTTTAATTCCTTGGGGTTTTTCTGTATTTTCCGCCCTTGTTCACCAAACTACTTCCAGTTCCTCTTTGACACCTCTCTGGGCTCAAATATCTGATCTCAATCCCCATCTCTGTCTCCTTGTTCCGTTTTCTCACCCAAAAGACAGTTCTTTAGGAGATACATGTCTACCACTGCTCTTTCCCCAGTCTCTCGCACAGTTCCAGCTTCTTTCTGCTCTTCCATAAATAGTCTAAACACCAGTCCTCCACAAAGTCCAGTCATAGCTTTCACCAGATGTCATAATCTGATCTATGATTTCATTTCCTCTTTGTTGTTGTACTTCCTACGCTGCAGCCCATTGTTTCTTCTCTTGACCTGGAACACCTCAGGCATCATCTAAACTCAGAGCCTGACCACGACAAAGCTGCCAGATCCTAGGACAAAGTTATGAAAAACAGAATCTTTGGAGTTCAAGTCCTTTTTGAAAAAGGGAAACAATTTTTCACAAAGTTGTTACTAAGGACATGTAAACCGATTTTTGTGATTTATAACAACCACTTCAAAATTTAGATATAATTTCACAGAGACAATAAAATGCAATTCCCTGCCAAACTTCAAAACCCAGCTTTTTTGTACACAAACAAGACAGCCCAAAGAAAAGGTAAGCTGATGATTTAGCTCTTTTTAAAGGTAGAAAGACCTTGCCCTCCTCCAACCTTATTCTCAAAAGGAGCTGAAGTAACTATTACCTCTTACCCTATCAAAAATTACCACCTTGTTCTGCATCCCTGTGCCTCCTGTGAGGGGTTTGCAATCCTCATTCCATATGACCCATTTCAAAAAGCTGCACCTTTTAAAGGCAGCCTTCACCTGTTCAGACAACAAAAACCATTACTGGTATCAAGAAAAATAAAGATAGAAAACCTTTAAAAAAATACAGTTTAGAAATTACAGTTTGAATTTACTGCTCTTTCAAGCTCTACAGACACCCGACAATTTTCAGGGCGTTAGTTAGCATCAGCCTAATGTTCACAGTAGTCCTATACAAACTTTTTCACTCACAGGGCTTCAAAATATATATATATCCAAGAGAACTCAAAAGAAAATAGTTTCATACAACGAACCCTGTACTGTGCAGAGACCTGACTGCAAGTACATTCACTTCCTCCCAGGATGAAATTTGTGTTTGCTGCACCACTACAATTTCCGTTTAGGAACCCAGACTGATGAGAATGGCTCAAAAGGATTTTGTATCCTATACCAAGCCAAAACAATTAACACAAAACTCCCTGGAGCTTAACAGTTGGTCAAAAAGAAAAGGTACTGCTGACTCAACCAAGAATAAAACAACTAAGGAGAAACACGATAGAGAAATGTATTGCCCTATACATCCATTTTTGGTCTTTCTTAATGACCTTCTCACTAGATATGGTAAAAGATATTTTACTCCTGTCAAGAAAATAAGAAGAAAAATACTTCTAGTTTGCAATCACTAGAAGATCATACCACATCATTTATTTAAACATACAGTATAAATAAACAAACACCCCACTAAACCTAGTTTTCCCTCCTGGAAGAGCAAAGCTCATACCTATCCAGTGATTCTACTTACTAATTCTGACATCTCACCACTGGTAGATAACATTGTGTATGTCAGAGAAAGGAGACAGCCGAATACAAGGAAAGAAGAAATACAGGAAAATAAAGAAAACATTGACAGTCAAGCCGAGTAAGACACAGCTTCCCACATGGAAAATTACTACTGAATTCACCAAAGAGACTGAGCTGTGCAGGACCTTTTAAGGATCACTATTACTTATTCCACATTTCTAGCTCTTTACCTCCATAACGACAGAGGCATCTACCGCTGCTCAAGCTTGTCTCGCCAAAACAGCTTCACCACTAAACACAAGCCCAAATAAGTCTCAAGGTAAAATAAAAATCTATCAATCCTCAGGCAGGGAAACGGGTTTTTTCTCTTTCAAAACGGCTTTTCATCAGAAACACCGAAATCGGAGGGAAAGCGCCAGGATCTTGCCCTCCTCACGCAGGCCCGCGAGAGGCGGCGCGGTGCTGACAGGAAGGCACCCACACACCGGGGGGTGGGGGGGAGAGGCCCGGCCCCTCGGGCCCACTCCGCGGCCCCG